AGCTCACAGCCCTTATCACTAAGACCATAATCCTGCTATTTAGGCTAAACATACCTCTCCTCCAGGCTGTTATTTCAAGTTAATCTCTGCAGCCCTAAGCAGTTAGTTCTGCTGGGTTACCCCTTTCCAAGTACTTGCTAGGGAGTTCTTCCTCATATTGTTAAGACTAATTTTGTAAGAATTATCATACCCTTATGCAGTCATGCTCATCCCTTTTTTTTTAACCTGTTTTCCTTTCCTTCTCCATGTCTCCAGATAGCTTTTTGAACCCATTAGACAATTTTAATAATTGGAAAACAAAGTGGGTACCTAGAGCTTCTTGGAGGAGGCAGACAGACATCAGTCAATCCTTCTGCTGAACAGAAAGCTACAGCTTCAGCATCTGTGTTTCTCTTGGTCTGCTGGCTGATGAAATAGCAGGCGTGTACCTTCAGCCTATCCCGCACATGCTTGGTGCAGGACCAGCCCTGGCACGCATTGCCTGCTAGTGAAGCTGCAGGTCAGTGACCTGGGTAGCTGAGAGCACTGGGAGGTGTTTTAATGCCCCTGGGAGAAATTCAGGATGTTGAAAGGGGTGTTAAAGCGCAAGAGGGTGAGGGCAACAAGATGTCGCCCTATGAAAAACAGGCTCTAATTGCATTACTCACAAATTGCTCATTCCCAGAAGGTAGTAAAATACTGCTCTTGCTAAATAAAAAAATTAAATTATGCTGTAAGGATCTGCAAACACCATTAAAGTTTCGTAATTTTAGTCAGGGTTCTCCTCTATCCTAATGCGATGTGAAGGAATTGAATCATTATTGCACAAATTCACAAAACATCAGCATTTTTAGATCTCAAGAATATGTAAGAAAGGGATGGTGAGAAGCTAACTTAGAAAAGTAAATCCATTTCCTTCGATGTCTGTCCAGCTGGCAGTATCCAAAAGTGTGCAAGTGCGTTCTCCACTGTCTTTTCCACAAACTGTTAATTTGTCTGAAGTTCTGATATAATTCCAGTCATATTAAAGCAAGTTGTTGGAAACTCTACTTGAGAGAGAAAAAAAAATACAATTTTCAGTAGCAAAAGACTCCTCTCTTTTTTTTTTTTTTTTT